CAAACAGACATGTAACAGGACTTTGAGTGAATGCCTGTAGCTTTAGCAGCTCTGTCGGGAGTAGAGCAAAAGCACCTAGATGTTCAGGCATACACAGACTAAGTGAAACATCACGCAGCTAGTCCTGCTGAAGATGTGATTAAAATAAGGGCTTTTCTCATTTTTCACTGCTGTAAAAAATAGGTGCTTACTAGCTTCAGTTTGACTCATAAGTTCTAAAGTACTTGGCTCAACACTGAAGAGAAAGAAATTTACAGCTCAACTGTAGATTTCTGGGACAGGAACAGTCAGCACGGTCACTTCAGGGTATTATATAGCCCTTAGCTGGTGAAGAAGCTTATTGTCACGATCTACTTCTTGCTCCGCGGTTGAATGCGTTAAAATAGCGATATTGATTTGACATTCCCTTAAGGAAGTATCTGCTACGGGGGAAAGCGACCCCAAGAAAAGCCCAATTTCATCTGTTAAAATAGAGGTAAATGGAAACAAGGGTGTGCGCGGTGGGATGGAAGCGCTGCCCCGTTCCAGACATCACCAGCAACACACGCTGTCAGCAGCAGCTGACCTGGGGAGATTTGCAGAGCAATTTGCCAGTGCACCTTTTCTGATTGAAACGTCAGTTTTGTTTTTCCCCCTACTTAACATGTTTTGCAATAAAGAGAGTGTTGCATAACATTTGTATCTCTTAACTACTAACATTTATCAAAGGTTAGCTAATTTTGGTGCATTACTGGCAGACCTTTGGGAAGCAGCACACAGTTTGTGGCAGATGCATCGTGTCAGCAACAAAACTCCTGTCAGGTGACATTCAGAATGAAAACGTTTTTGTATTAGCAGATCTGGATTTTACTCCAGAGCAGTTGCCAAAAAGGCACTCTTTACAAACCAGTGTTTCAGCTAAATATTAAAAATAACAGCCCTGCCTTTTGTTGCCATAAGTAATGCATTAACAGACTTCTCCGTAGTGAAGTTGGGCTTTTCTCTGGATACTTTTCCTAGCAGAGGATATTTTTCCTGATTGAATGCCAAGTCAATACCAAAGCAACGAATTAGAGCACTTAACTGAGCACAGGACAGCAAAAATGGAAGTCAGGCAGTCTGTGAAGCGTGAAATCTGTTAAATCGTGTAATTCACAGCCCAGTTTTCTCTCCTCCTGCTGCCGCTCCTCAGCCAGAGCCCCAAATAACCAGCCAACACTTGCAAGGTCTCATGGAGTAAAATCATGACAAGGCAGCACTTGTTGGGAGGTGGCAGCGGAGGGGCAACTTTGATGTTTCCTTGGCTGGCATCGTGCAGCTCTCAAAGGACGTGTATGAACGCGTTGGGAACACAGTGATGTCATCAGGTGAAACGTACGGCCCAGAGAAAGGCAGCAGCGCTCTGACAGCATTGATGGAGCTAAGGATATGGTGAGGTGTGGTTTACAGGGAGGAGTAATGGTGTTTCTGTGGCAAGCCAGGTGAGATCAGTGGCCAGAAGGACTCGCTGGCATGAAAACTCACAGGGACTCACCCTGATGGGGACAAACCTGATTAGCTCCGACTCAGTTGTCGGATTAGTGCTTGTGTAAAGCCTCCCCTCCAGGGCTGCTCTCTACATGATGCTGTACATGAGGCTACCAGTTTGTTTTCAGTAGAAATTTTGCTTTATTTCAAAGCCTGAAAAAGGATGATGCTAACTGAGGGCGAGACTTAAACATCAGACCTTAACCCACTGTTGAAGTAAGCCATTACAGAGTCCACCAAAACAATAACATCTAGTTTACACTCCCTGCTGTATTTTCACTTTGCACAGAAGTTAGAAGCTGTATTATTTCCTTAAAAGAAGGAGATTTTAAAACAAAAACTGAACTTGAATTAGAAGTTTAGCTTCAACTTTTCAGACACTACCATCAAGAAAAGTCCGTGTACCCTATGCTTGCACTCTCCTGGGTCTGTTAAGATCTTTTGTCTCAAGCCTTTCCTTCTGCAAGCATCAAAAGCTGTGGTCTAGTGGGGTTTTAGATCTCTTAAGACTGGGAACTTGTATTCACAAAACAGGCAGATGACTTGTTCCTATAGTGTGCATGACCATATAAAGTGTTCAAGTGGAAAAAATGGTTAGTTCATGACTCCTTCATGATTCACGGTTTCCTCCAAGTCATTACTCTGGTCCAGTGTCATTTTCTTACATATGTAGCTCCAAAGCTATAGAGGGAAGCAGCAGCGAGCCCGCTGGTGCTTTGTTCAGTTGGCTGCAAGTTAATTTAGACACTTCCAGGGTTGCCAGGGAAAATATTCGGCATAAAATAGGTGGGAAAATAGAGTTGCAGGGGAAAGTTCACTAGGGCTCACTGAGCAAGAAGCTTCTCGGTTCTCTAGGAATTTCCACCATTTGTGTTTCTGGCCAGCCTGTGTACAGAGGGTGGTAACATAAGTGAAATTTTCTGTCTTGGCAGGACAACGACTGGTGGCTGCCTCCATAAATCTTGTGGGTATCTGCAGCCTAGACATGTTTTAGAGCTTTCATACTTGGGGAGATAGCATTCAGTAATCCCTAGATTAATTTCTTATTAAAGGAAATTAGTATTGCTAAGACTCAAACTTCCTAAAAATACAATTTATCTGTAAAGACTGGAGGCAAGGCACTAACTTGCCTGCCTTTCTCTAATAAAACCAGTACTGAAACAGTTAAAGTGATCTTTAGTTGACTCTTAACCCAGGGGTGGCAGAGCCCCTTTCCAGGAATGGGGGGTGGAGAGGAAATCCACAGCGCTCTCCTTTTTGTCTGTTTTTCACACCAACTTAAGCTCTTATCAGAAGCCGATGTATTTAGTGACTCCCTTTCCTGACTAGATGAGTTGGAGGCAGGAGCGGTTTTTGAAAGAGCGACTCAGAGCCCAGAGCAGGAGCGGGAGCACAGCCAGAGGTGGCAGAGCTCCTGGGGAGGCTTCACCGAGCAACCAGGGCTGCTGGAGCTGCTCTCCTGCACAAGGACCCGCAGACTCTTCTTGGCAGGAGCAGAGGGGCTGCCTGGGGAACGGAGGCAGCGGCCAGCCCATCCTAGTGATACTCCTTACAGCAGGGAAGGTCAAGGCTGGTAAGTTAGGCTGCAGCTGGTACAAAGTACAGCTCAGCTTGTAAAGGATCCTCTGGGCAGTTTGTGTTGCAACATGCTTGGCATTATCAAGTAGAAACCTTAGTTAAAATTTAAGACACTGGTAACGTGGAAGTGGTTTTAGCTGTTGTAAGTCACTTATTTTGAGTTACTACCTAGATCTTCTCACTATCAATGCTATTTACCAAACTTGAATATTTGATATGCTTTAATCAAGCTTTTCCTAAATATTTAGAGATATGTTTGATCTTTGGGAATTATTTTATTCCCGATAGTGCCTTCAGAGAAAAGTAATGCTATAAGAACTATCAGAAGCCTCCAACAAAGTCACTGTTAAGTCCCTTTTAATAGATGGGGCAGAGGAAGGGATAGGAGTTGAATGGTTACCAGTGGGCAGTAACTTGAATTGGTGCTAAAGCTCAGAGTTTTGTCATTACTGAGGTTTCTGCACTGCCTGCTAGATAGATGTTCAGCCTGTTTTGTCTACATCTAAAATGTTTGGTTACATTCCTCCGGCGTAAGTCTGGTTATTTTGCTAGTATTCACTTTTTAATGTGGCTAATCATACTGGCTCACATTCTTTATAACTGATGTAGTAATAACATTCATTTACTATATCTGGAAAATGCTGTGAAAGACAATTTAGATATTGCTTTGAAAGTTTTTTGGCTCCACATTTTCAAATCTAATTTAAACTACTGCGTGGATTAAAAGTTGACGCTTCTTCCAGATTCCACACAGTAAAAACTTGCCCAGAGTTGCATCTATGTAGGCAAATTCAGGAGCCAGTCTTTTTACTTCATCTCGTGCTCTAGCCATAAGTTTACCACAGTGGCAGTTGCAGAGCTTGTTTTGGTATTGCCTGCAGAAGTACGACTAAATTCACATGGAAATGGAGATTTTATTGTAATAGGTCCAGGGACACACAACAGTTTTACAGGTATATTGGTCTGAGCTTTAGTGCGGAGGCTAAAAAGTCAAGACTCAAGTTCCTTCTCCGGCAGGTTCAAGTTACCTTTTTTCAGTGGCTAGTTAATTTATACCATCCTTTCTCTTTAAATATAAAGAAGTTTTCAAACCTGTTGTGTGGGGTAGATTAGACTGGATTGTGCTGTGAACATGAGTCATTACAGATCATTCTGCATATGAAGCCCTGCTCCTTGGGTGGGTACTGAACTGATAGGGCTTGACAAATTCAAATAGCTGCAGGACTTCCCCTTTTGTTCCTTTCCAGGAAAGGATCATTTCACCTGCTCGCCCAGCAATGCTGTTAGAACTGTTAATTTATAGCCTTCATCTAGTCATTTGGGGTGAAGGCTGTAGCAGCTTTAGCAGGTTTTCAGCTCTTGGAAAAGCAGGTGGGGAATGTGTTAATCATCGCCATCAGCAGTGACTACTCCTCCTTCTGGGCAGTCGGGGGGTTGCTGCCTTGTGAAGATTTCCATTGTGGTCAATTGTGACTCAGATTCTCTTTCTCTACCTCTGACTCAAGGATTTCACCATGTTAAGAATTTGCCAAGGGCCTGATGGAGACTGGCAGGTCCCCAAGTTCCTCACCATGTCATGCGACTCCTAGAGACGGGCAGGGTCAAAGCATCCTCAGTGCCTCAGCAAATCCGTCCCAGTTGTTCCCACACAGCTGTTGGTCAGGCACTGGGCAGCTGGACACAGCTTGGGTAGGACAAAGCAGATCATTTTGGACAGAGCAGGTGAGGGGCACAGTAACATTAGCATTCTACAGCAGTCATTTAAGATATGCATGCAGGGCTAATTTTAAACACTGGTTTCCTGAAGCTTCTAAAAAGTGGAAGTGGTTAAACTCAAGACCAGGTTTCTCAGCTTAACTGGTACATGAACCTTCTCATTTATAGGTGTGTGCTATAAACAGCTGATCACTACCACAATGACCTCTCCAACCTCTGCCCAGCATCCAGCAGCTGAGAATGCCCACAGAATCACACTCGGACAAGTTAGCCAGGTAATTATCTCTCCCACTTACCTTCACTGCTTCCTCCTCACTAAAGCAGTGATTTCTTCCATCAAATCAAAGCTCTCTGAGTACATTTAAGAAGAATTTAGCCTAATGGAGTAGGGCTTTTATCCTGAGGAGTCGCATTAGCTTTCACTGTCAGATCAATGATTTATGAACATTTTAAAGGGGGAGGAGGAGGGGAAAAAGCAATTAAAACTGGCAATATAAGAAATTGCATAATGCATGTTTTTGTGCTGGACCTGTACTTGAAGTATTCCACGTACAGCATTCCTCCTAGTGCTGGACTATTTGTGACAGTTGTATTGGAGCTTTGTAACCGCGCACGCTGAACTTTATCTAGCCAGTAATCATCCCCGTGCCTTTTTGGAGTCAACTTCAGTAAGTATCGAACACATAGTGCTCACATTATTGCCTCTCCCTAGAGTGTCCCTGGAACAAAAGGCAGTTGTAGCTGCGAGCCAAGGCCAGCGTGGCAGGTGTGTGTGGTTTGAGTATGGCTCAACACCATGTTGACAGCCAGTCAGAGAAGAGAAATTTGCAAACAACAACAGTAGAAATCTGGTCTAAAAGTCAGGAAGGTTTCTCCAAGAGAGGCATCCAACCTTCCTAAGCCTATTGATTGGAAAAAGTGTCTCCACAATATGAGGGGATGTGGTAGGAGTGGAAATAAGCCGAAAGGAAGCTGAGAGATCCTCCCATTTGAGGCTTAATTTAGAACCCATTTGAGGCTTAATTTAGAAGCTCTGAAATGTAGCCAAGTCCTGTGCAGAACTGATGTATATGGTTATTTATTCAACTCACTCTGCATGAAAAAATAAGTAAATAGGCTCTGATATTAGTAGCAAAATATTGATTGTCAACACTCAGTGTTCCAGGCAGTGCAGAATAAACACTTCCATTTTGGCTGTGCAGTGGTAGCTAAGGGCCCATTTTAAAATGATCAAGCTAACTACGTTACTTCTTTAATCAGAAAGAGATGTATAAGAAGGGACTTCAAAACCCATTTGAGAGTGGTCATTAGAGAAATGAATGAATGTAAACACATAATTTTATCTTATTAAAAACCATGTGCTGATACAAGCACTTATTTCAGTTGTGCTGAGCTTTTTTCTAGTGAAAAAGCTGTTCTTGAGAAAGAGACTTGGGGCTGGACAGGAGCTGTTCTGTTTGAGCTTGAAAATGCATTTAACAAACACAATAACGAGAAAACAGGCAGACCAGGCACATTCACAGGAGACGGTTCTTTTACAATATTAGAAAACAGCGGAACAAATACCTTGCCAAGATACTGTCAGAGCGCTGAGTGGCAAATTACATTCGTGACAAGCGATGCAAACCCGTTCTTACCTTGTGCAGGAAAGGGGTGCTGCAGTTTGGGCTGTCTCTTGGGGAAGGCGTTGCAGAGCTGCAAACAGGCTCTACTCCTTGGGAAAGAAAGTGGGGATTGCAATTGCATTTATATAGGCAGAAAGGAGGGGTGGGTATGAGGCCCAGGTGAACCCACCTAACATTGATAGGTAAGGGCCTTTCCTGCCTAGCATGGGTTACATGCCGTGAGAAAGCATAAGCCTTGTCAAAGGGGAAACAGCAATGGACACAGCATGCTGAGGACTGGACTTTCTGTGCTGTGACAAATTGAAATATCTTGCTGTATTAGCATCTGATAGACAAGGAGAAGAGAGGAAGAGATTCAGTGTGGGAAATGTGCATTAGTATACAATATTGTACACAATTGTGTAGCATTCAGAGAACAGTGAGGGCTTTCTGACGTTTTTAGGGAACACAAGGCATCAGATCATATGTTGGCACTCTCCTAAGAATTGTTGAAATTCTTGTGGAGTAGATGAAGTAGCAGCATGGGGGGAAGTAGCTATTTAAAACTTGCTACTGTTTTATATAGCATCATCTGTCTCATCTGCTACTCAAAGCTGCTTGGGTGTGTGGGTGAAACCTAAAGGGGTTGTGGAGCAGGTGCATCGTTCCCAGAGTGCTTTATATTTTATATAATAAAGGTTTTGGTTGATGAGTGAGATCCACAGAAAATACAGGCTCTGATCCTTGCCATTAATTAACCACACCTTGTGTTTAATGCAGTCTTGTTATTATGTGCCTATTCATGGATCCTAATAAATACATACTCCCTGAGGTCTGTACGGAGCAGACCCCTTTTCTTCACTGCACTAATTGAGAAAATTCAGGCATGCTGCTCTTGAAGTGGCAATCTGAATGCACCATCATTGCTCCTAAAGAGATGACTCAGTACATTTGGTTAGTCGCTGCCGGGGACTCCATACCAAGGGCCTGAGTTTCCAATCACACAGGATGAATGACATCAGAGTTAATGGGACAATGTGAGTGATTAAAGCCTTTAGAGCTGGCTGCCCAAATTCCTTGGCTTTTTTTGTCTTGCACTTGAGTCAGAATGATTGTGCTGATTTTCAGTCCTTCTAACTTCTTTTTAAGCGATTGTCGGTGCAGATTACTTGTAAAAAAGAATACCAGCCTTCGGCAGGTTGGCCTGAGGCAAGCAGCCTTTCCCCAGACCTCCAGCCCATACCACGGTTGTCAGCTCTGTGCTGGGTGTGAGTCTTACACAGGTTGACTTGGGCAACTTGGGTTTGTTAGCGGTGGTACGCAGGCGTGCGTGCCAGGGTGACGGAGCTTTCTCTCAGCAGGGCACTGCTTCGTGTCGTTCAAACAAAACTGCTTTGTGTTTTAGGTGCGACCCAAACTGCCGCTTCTGAAGATTCTGCAGGCTGCAGGCGCCCAAGGTGAAACCTTCACGCTGAAGGAGGTGGGCTCAGTTTCTAGGCACTGAAACTGTGCCTGTCCCTGGTTCTCTGGGAGATGGCTCTTTGTGGGGAAGGGACGGGGCTGGCTATTAATTTTTCTATACTTTGAAGCCCTAGCTGCAAAATCGGGATACCTTACCCATAGGGCTGTTGTGATTTGGTTGGTCATAAATTGTCTTGAGAGCCCCCGGAGGAAATGGAATAGGAGTGTGAAATAGTAAAGAAAATTATTTATCCTGGAAAATCAGAAACCTCTTTAGGGAAAGGAAAGATGGGATAGCCACATTCCTGAGAGCATGTGGGAGATTCTGTTCGATTGTCTCGCTCTCTGCTCAGTGCATGAAAGCCTTAAAAATTGAATTCTAGTTGATATTTTTTTTTAACTTTCCTTCAAAATGGCTTGTCAGCTAAACCTAAGAGACCCTGTGAATTCATTTATTTTAAGATTAAAATGCAATATGTGTACAAGATTAAAAAAATGACACTGACTGTGATTTACAAGAGTGTCCTGTCTGCAAAGAATTAAATGCAGTGGTTTTTCATTATGAATGTGTCAAATATTCCTGCAGAGCCCTGTGACTTATTTTAAACACTTATGCATTTAAATAACTTATTTAGCTTCTAAAAATTTTTGCAAAAACAAATTGAATGGTTTAAATGGGGGGAGTTGAGTATTAAATGCAGGTTACTTGTATAGATTAACATTTTAACTCAGTTAAGTCAGTTTTTTTGCAGTCAGTGGAGTACTGTTAACGACTTTTTGGTGCCACTGTCATTCAGGAGGGTCACTTCGGTGGGTAATGGGTGGAACCTGCCTGTATTATGCTTAACTTTGCCTTCTCCTCTTGTACTCCGGATTCCTCACTGTAGCTGGCAGCATCCGCTAGCTCTCAGAGGGTGTTCCCTCTCCATCCTTCTTTGGGATACTAGTGCACTTATTTTTGCATCTTGCAGACTGTCTCCTGAGGGACAGCACTGTAACTTGTGGTCATCCTTTAGTAATAGCGTATATCCAGGGGATACCTTCTGCCTCTTCCCCACCCATCTCCTTCTCTTCTTCATGCTGAGTTGAACAGCAGCAGTCTCCCTCTGCACCTCGCACTGAGGGAGACTGCCCAGATAAAAGTGTTGTCACCCATGTCGTGTTTCGTTTTAATGTGAGGTAGCAGAGTGACTTCTGTTTATCCATCTTCAAGTCAGTTTTCCTTTTTGTCAAGGTTTAATAGTTACGAACCTTATAACAATATGGTAAAGCATAACTCTCCCTTGCTTGGGAGGCGGCGACAAATTGCAGATGTGCACAATAAGCAGGTACTATTTGATTCACGCTGTATAGGATAGCAGGAGGCACGTGTCATAAACTACAGCAAATATCCAGGGTCTTTGGTGGTTTGGTTTCAACTGCAGATGTGGCTAATGGTGTTATGTATCCCCAGGTTATGCATTACCTAGGACAGTATATAATGGTGAGGCAGCTCTATGACAAAAGACAGCAGCACATGGTCTATTGTGGAGGAGATCAGCTAGGAGAACTGCTGGGACTGGAGAGCTTCTCTGTAAAAGATCCAAGGTAGGAAACATGACCTTTAACGTAGGTTGTATCATAGACGTTGCCGAGAGAGGAGACTCTTGGTCTCGCTGCTTCTGTTCGCTGTCACATAAACCTCCCTGAACACCAAGGGCCCTGCCCGGTGGCTTATTGGTAACGCATTTGAAAAGTCTGAGTTTAGCTCCTTTGTTCTGAAGAGCCACTTCTGAGTGGTCCAGGCAGTGAGCTGCTTGAGGTGACATCTTTTCCCCCTTTTATTTCCGCATGCTTCTCAGGCCCTTGATCTCACATTTAAGCAAAAATCTGCATCCTTCGGTTAAGTTCTGAGCTAGACTTCTCTGTAGCAAGCATTTAGGAATGGCAACCCTCCCCCCCCCGCAGTTTCCAGTGTCTCTCTGGATAATAAAAGAGAATTTCTGTCCCTGGTTGAAAAGGGACAGAACGCTGCTTGGCTTTGCGAGTATACTCAACCGTCGCCTTCTTTCCCACAGCCCAGTCTATGACATGTTGAAACGGAACCTGACTTCTGCTGCAATGGCAGGTAGGTTTGTCACAGTATGGGCAAGTATATTCAATATAGTGTTGATGTAACTTGGGTAAGTAATGATATTCAGAAAAGAGAAATGTTTCTGAAGTTGGAACAAACTGCTAATGAAGGCTTTGACAAGACAGTCTCTTTGAGTATGTGTCTTTTCCGTGTGTCCGCCATCAGTAGTTGTGATACAAAATCAGTTACCTCTTTTGAGTAACGTGGCTGCCTGTGACCAATGGCCAAACCTTGGAGCAGCAGACACTCTGTCTGGAACCACAGTGACAGAGCTAAATGCTGCGGATGTACAAATCAACGTGGCTGAAGTATCCCACCCAAATCATTATTGATTTCTCAGTCTTTTCTCAGTTTCGTAGCATGCTGCAACTTCTTGCTCTCACCTCGTTTTATACTTTCATAGTCTTGAGACTGAATGTCAGAGTGCTGGAAACTCAGCCTAATTCTGCAAGCCAAAGAGGTCTGGACTTTAATCAAACACTTGAACCTTTAAAGGTCACTGTTACTTTCCCAGCTCATAAGAGAAATCAAATCTATCTACATCAGAAGTCCTTCAGTCATAAATTAAAATTTATTCTTAAATTAATCTCGGCTGATGGCTTCCTTGCAGCCAGTTTCCTTTGTACGGCTGGTAATCTTAATTTGAAAAAAAAACTTCTGATGAAACTACAAGTGTGCAAATCATGAGGGAGCTGCACCAGGAGAGCTGTGGAGTTTTCCTGGGGTCTCTAAGTAGATAATATGGACTTAGTTCTTCATAAGGGCTTGGTTTGTTTTTGCACACGTACGTAAAAGCTCGTGGAAATTTAGAAACTGAGAAAACATGGCCCTGACCTGCTTAGTCCTCTGCTTTGAGCCACATATTGGTGCCTCTGAGGTCCCCCTCCTTTCTCTATTTATATAGAAGAATCTTCCTAAGCGGACTCTCCTCTAAACACGTTGCCTACAGAGTAACTGTGTGAGTGCTGTTTCGCTCGCTGGTGATGCCCTGGCCTCTTCCCTATAGGCAGTGTATGTGGAGAGCAAAGGATCCCAGTGAAACACTCTCTCCTCTGCTGCCCTGTCCCCTTCTCCGTGGTGTGTGCCTGTGCCTGCGTGCGTGTGGCTACGTGTGCCTGTGTGGTCCTCTCATGGTGTAACTATTTTTAAACCTGCCAAAGGAAATGCTGTTCCTTTAGGGAGATGATCGCTGAGTTATACCGCCGTGTCTGCTTGTGTATGTGTGTGACTATAAAACGAAACAAGCTTGGCAGACCAGACCTTCGACAAATACATAGGAAGGATGACTCTAGGTATTGTTTTTCCTTCATCGCAACATAGGAATAACTAGAAGTGCCATAGGGCTTAAAGAGGTCTTCATGTTGCATGTTTTGTAATAGCTGGTTGTATTCATTAGCCAAATCAGTGCTTATCAGCACGTCATTTTGCAGATTATCTCGGCCACTTCTTTTAAGTACACTTGTAGAAAGAAAAGTGACTACAGTACATCTCGATAATAAAGACCAAGCTCTCACATAATGCCCTTTATCAGATGGTGTCCTTACTTGGCTAGCTTTCACTCTGAGCGTGGCTCACAGGAGGTGTATTTAGGAATACCTCACTTTAAGGACATCTTGTATAGTATATGTTGGCTTCAGAAAAGGAAGCCTTCCAATAAGTGGAGTGTCTTTTCATACAGTGTTTAAGGCTAGTTTGCATTATTTATAAAGTGTCAGCAGGGTAAGTCTTCACCTCTTCTAATGCCCCTGCAGAGCCAGAGCAATTATGGATGAGCCAGTTGGCTTCTGTTTTCCTTCAGGTATTAAACAATCCGTGACTGCAGAAGCTGTAGGGTGATGGAAGGGACGAAAGGAAAGCTGAACTAATGCACAGAAGGCAAAGAGTATGGGATAGAGCCACGTCATTACGTGGTCCTGTGTTTTGGCCCATTTTACAGACCACTTTGTGGTCCACTTTTCGGCCTATAGCAGCAGTTTTCAGTGTCTTCATATCAGTGCCATGATTCGTGGCGTGAATTGGACTGTTCATGCCTGCCTGGCATTCAGCAGGGAATTTCTGTGCTAAATTGAAAGGGGAGCAAGCAGGAGCCATCCTTGCATCTTTTGTTCTCTAGCAAGTCATTCTGTTTAAAGGGTAGACTTCCTAAGTGCAGCTTTCCTATTATGTAGAAAGATTTCTGTTCAGGTGATTGTTCTTGTTATTTAGGTTGGCCTTTTAATTAACTCTTGGGGCCAGCATAATCGTCTGGATTAAACTGTGTTATGGATGTGTACACAGTTACCCAGGAAGGAGCTTGCTGTGCATGGCATTTTCCCTTCTTTAGTCTAGTCACTTTGTTCTTTGTGCCCACACCCTTTAAGAAAGACATTTTTCCTGTCTCAGCATACGCTGAAAGAGATGGTGTCCTCAGGTATTTATACAAACCTTACTCTTCTGTGTTCACCTTCTTCAGTGTGGAGCTGATCCAGCCCTCAAGTGAGAGTCCCCACCCTCTGCTGTTGCTCTGGGTTTCTGGCTCCATGCAGACCTCTTGTGTAAAGGACCTAGAACTTGTGATGGGAGGACAGCCAGGAGGAAGAAGAATAGTTTTTCACATTGGGAAGAAGGTTCTTACATGCTGTGAGGTTTCATCAAGCTTCATCTCTGAGGAGGCACAGACTCTCGATTCCATAGGCTAAAGCCTCCATATGCACCTGGCAAAGCCTAGGGGATACTGGAGTAATGCCTTCCTCGGAAACGGCCAGGTCTCTAAGGAAGAAAGGGTTCTGTTTCTCTTAAAGGGCTACTTAGAGGTCTGCCAAGCCTGGCTCGTTGGTTGCTTGCTGAAGACCCTCTGTGTTGTGAGAATGGTTATTACCAGGGAAGGTTTTTTCTTTTGTTTTACCTGCCATCTAGATGCTGCACAGAATCTCGCAAAGGAACAGAGCGTCGATAAGCCAAGCCAAGACCAGCTGAAGGTAAACCCACTGCCTGGTGGTTTCTTTTGTTGTACAGAGTGCCCCTTCTCTGTACCTGTGCATGGTGGACTGCCAGAACTTTGTGCTGCTTGGCTGCCAGGTCCTCACCTTCCTGAAAAGTTCTTGGAGTCCACAGAGCAGGGACAGAGTGACCCTTCTCTGTTCTCTTCATAACAGAGTACCAGTCTCTGAGCGCGTTTCTCTGGGGTGTAGCACTTCTAGTCCTCAGTTCCTCCAGCGTGCTCTGTATTTTCATGTCTTTCCCCCTTCTCTCCCATCCCCTCTCTGAGTAGGAATTGCCAAATAATTAAGCTTTCTAAAATGTGTGAACAAGTTTTGTGTTTAGTAGGATTGTTTTCAGAAGCTTTCAGGCAGAATCTGAAACCTAGGAAAAATCTTTGCCCGTTCAAAGTTGTTTCCAGGTGTATTTTGGGATTCAGGTAGTCTGAGCCGGGAGGTGTCTGTTCACATTGGGGGCCAGAGAGTCACAAACATCACCGTATTACTGCATTAGAGATGGCAACTTTTGGACTTTTGCCAATCTTAAGATTTTTCCTAGGTTGCAAGTATATTGTTTGTGCTGATTACAGATGCATTAGCCTTCTTAAAGGGTTAATAGTGTGTAGTTTTTGTTCAGAAACTTTTATTTCTCATCATAACTTCTCGGTCTTGTGCTGCAGCTGGTGACTCGGAATGGAAGTGCTACATCCCCTTGTCCCTATAAGCTCTGGTGGACTAACATCTGTTTTTTCCTTCCTTCATGCAGTTTAGCCAGCAAGAAGGTTCTGACACTGCCATCATGGAGGGTGAAAGCAATGCTTCTGCTTTGTCTACCTCAGAGCAAAAATGTGAGAATTATGAAGGTGAGTGCCAGCTTTTCTGCAGTAACACAATGTGTGCAAGATCTTTTCTCCAGTGTAACATGTTGAGCTCTGCATCAGCAAAATGCTGGAGGAGGGTATTGGGAGACTAATAAAAACCTGTTGTGGAATATAATCTTTAAAAATCATCGGTTTATGCTAAAGATTGAGAGAACTGCAAATGTTCGCCAGAGGTATTTTATGATAGACGTGTTTTCTAGCTTGGATATGTGGTCTCATAAATAAACAAACACTTTGAATAAAATGGCAGGTTGAGCCCCAAAAGCACATCTATCACTAAACAATGCCATGAAAAATCTTACAGACCTTGCTGAAGGGTATTTTAAATGCTGAAATTATACTTGTATCTATTTATCTTCTCAAGGGACTCTCTTCTCTGATTACATAGAACACAGCCCGAGCCGTCTGCAGTCGTTACCTGCAAACCAATCAGGGAACTGAATAACAATGGAAGTTTTTTTCTATCCAGCTTAAGTGTAATACAGCTCCTTCATATTTAGACATTTCCTTTGTTTTAATATCTGGGGATTTCTTGCCGGTTCACTCATACGGATTTCTGATGTTACAGGAGCAATTTTCCTGTTTTTCTACTTTCTATTCTCATGTCGTTCTCACATCAAGGAACCTAATTTGTAAAACCAAATCTTCTTTGCAAGTGTGGGTATTTCCAGATCAAATGAGAGTGGTAGATATTTTCCTGGCTACATGTACAAAAGAGGTAGAAACAGTCCTTGTCTGTGCCTTTGAAACTCCTGGCACCGAAGAGAGAGAGATTCAAGGTTATCTTGAAATTCAGACCGCCGAGTTTGGGATCATAGACTAAACTGCACGTGCTAAAAAGGAGGCTGAAGCATGGGGTTATGGAGGATGGATTCTTACCTTCCTGCTTCCTATTTTGAACCTGGTTTGGGAATTCAGGAGCTCCCATCCCTGGAAGTTGGAACTAAACTCAAACCAGTTCTTTCTGCATCTTAAGTCACTCAAGAAATTTACTCGGTGTTGACTTGGTTAGAGCTCTGAAAGAAGCGTTTGCGTTTCTGTATTGAGTCTTAAGGTAAAGCTAAAGAGAACCTGTACCATTCTAGAGACCCTGGGAACACTGGGATGCTTCTCTGACCTCTGATGGCTGTGCAGTGACTGTTTTGCCAGGTTCACTTGGGCGGATACACGAGTACAGCTATGCGGCAGATCTAACATCCCAGTACACTCATACGAACCCCAAAGCTCTTAGCAGTAACTGGCTGTAAGAAGGAGGAAGAAGGATTTCTAAAATCAGATGGGGCCAAATTTTTCTCTGCTAGTCTCTTAAATAATGTAGGTGTGGCATGACTTAGATTCTACTTGGCTCTTACAGACAAAGACTTAATAGAAAACCTCTCTAAAAGCAAGAAGCCTAAACTGGACCTAGTGTTTGAGGAATGGGATGTAGCTGGTCTTCCATGGTGGTTTTTAGGCAACCTCAGAAGCAATTACAAGTCCAGAAGTAATGGATCAACAGATATTCAGACTAACCAGGTGTGTAGACATTTTAAATAGGTGCGCTGTATTCTCTTCCTCTCCTCCTTTGGGTTCCAAGTAAATAAAATATTCTTGTTCTTTCTTTCCCCTTCCCACTCCAGGATTTTCAGCCTCTCCCTTGTGTGTTCCTGTCCCAGCCTTTCACATCAGGTGGTTGGTTACCTTTAGTGTTCTTGAATAAAGTAGGCGCTCTCTGAAGGCTGTGTTCAGCCGTTGGAGGTCCTTCTGCACTCCGGAGCATTGGTTGTATTTCAGGAGTTGCCCCTCTTCTGGGTTGAAAGCTGTTACGCGGTGCGGATGGCTGTAGCGTGGTGGCCAGCTGCTGTATGGCCAGCTAGCGAGGGGAGTGAGCATAGTGCTGCTTGCAGAAGGGGTGTCTTGGGAGAGCAGTGAGCTGCCCCTCGCTCTCACAGGGGTGACTGGAGAAGCTGCCCAGGGCTGAGAAGGCTGTTAGTGAGGAAGAGGGGAGAGGCGTTCGCTGTGGTGATGGCTGCGGTGCTGGTACTCCTGCTGCTGCTAACCTGAGCTCTAAGTGGTCTCTCCTGTTTCTTTTCCAACAGGACATAGACACTGCCGTTGTTTCGGATACTACTGATGACTTGTGGTTCCTCAACGAATGCCCGTCGGATCAGAGCAGTGCTGCAGTCAAGGTGGAAACGGTTGACTGCGAGGAAGTGAAAGAAGGTGACAAAAAGGTACCTCTTCAAACAGCCACAGTGCATGTGTTCCACAGGCTGGCCTTGTTTCATTGATCTCATGGTGCTGTGCTGATTTTGGAGGAGCTAGATCTATAACCATCCAGAGTTTAAACTTTTTAGAAAAGGCTGTCACCATTCTGTCCGTGGGGTGAGGAGCTTTCCTGTATAGTCAATCTGCTTGGGTTTTGGTTTAAATGTGTGTATTTTCAAGGCACAAAATTAATTTAAAATTAATTAAAACTCTGGCAGCAACTTTACTGTATTTCTAGCCAATATCTGCAAGACTAATAAATGAAAAGAGTTGAGGAACGTCTCAGTTTACATTGTGTTAGCATTCAGCGTAAGGTCGGCTGGCCTGAGTCTGCGAGCTGAGGGGGTAGTAAGATTGGTCGTAAGAGTAGTTAATCAAATATGCGTTAAAAGGCTTGAGTTCATTACTTTCTTCCATGGAAACGAGTAGGACCGCTCAGATGGGTATGTGTTTGTATTTGTACGATTGTTGTGTGCATCAGAGAGAGATACGAGTAGACCGCTGGCAAATATGACTGTAAATCAGCCCAGCAACAGTTATCATTATTCTGGAATAGATACAGTACATAAAATGGCTTTTCATTCGCTTCTCGAAATGGCTTAATTCTCATGGTGATGATGTAGTCATTTTAGTTTTGGTGTACAGTGCCAGGCACATCATAAATACAGATTACTGTGTCCCTCTAACAACACATCCA